TGGCGATGGCCTGCCGCGTGTTACGTAGTGTCGCAATGCCGACAGAGAGTTCGCAACTTCTCTGAAGCCCAAACGTCAGCAATGCCCCAACTGGAGCCCCTCAGCCCTTAAGGCTTCAGGCACCTTAAATCACATAAACCCCCTTTAAACCCCATACCCCCCTTAATACCCCTATACCTCCCCATAAATCCTATCCCCCCCTATACGCCTTAAACCCTATATATCCCTTAAACCCTACAAACCCCCCATAAACCCTATGTATCCCTTGTGTACCCCCCCTTAAACCCAAGAGAGTCAGAGCCGAGGCCAAAATCCAAGACCTTGGAGCGCAGAGCCTTGGCAACAGAGGCCGGGGGCCCCGCCTTGTTTTGTACGAGAAGAATGCATTTTGCTGTGCCGAGTATCATCATAACAATTATTATATTAATTATTACTATTATTGTTATTATTATTTTTTCTTATTATTACTATTGTTATTGAAACTCATTATTATTATTATTATTATTTTAGTTGCCTTTCGTTTCTTTGCAAGGGCCGTTATTCACGCAGAAATCACCCGAGGCCGGGCATTCGGAAAGAGCCATTTGCTCAGATTCGCCTCTGGTGACTCTGGGAGCATCCGAAGCCAGACCTTGCATGCCAACTGCATCCTGGATTCTGGTGCAGATTGCCACGCTTTCTCTGCAATCGATGCTCAGGGTCGGTGGCAGATGAAAAGCTACTAAAAGCACCATCAGTGACTGCTCGCGGGAGCCCTAGCCAACCCCTCGTTGTACCAGAAGGGGAAGTTCAGCAAATGCTTGAATCATGGATTTGTTCATGATGAGCTTGCCATGGGGCGAATTTGCACAAGCAAATTAGCAGGCTCTACAAGGGCACTCGAGGATATTGGCAAGTACATGGTGTGTCCAACCATTTCCGTGGTTTTTAGATCTGCAGGTTCTAGCAGACATCAGCAACAGGTGTTGTACAAGGACGCCAACGCACAAGCGCACAATGATAGCAATGCTGCAATCTCAAATACGAGCCCTCGAACCATCACCTGGGGAAGAAAAAACCTTTTTTTCGTCTAGTTATTCACCAAATCAAAGCTGAATGAGTTCTTCCACCTATCGGTGAATCACTCCGCCTGACGTGTTGTTCCGACCGAGTGGCGATTCCCTTCTCTTACTGCAGAACATATACAGGAATCTCAGCACACGTACGTGGATTTGGGCGAATGGCTACAGTTTCAACTTAGTACTCGGTGTGTCTGTCTTGCTTTTAGGTTCAACCAGTTGCCCGTACATTTGCGACATGGGCCAGGCCTTTGCGGAACAGAGTCCGTGGAAGAAAACCCAGACCGCGGAAGCTCGTAGAGTCGGCGGCCGTGCGTTTCGTGCAGACGAAAGACACCAGAGGGGACTAAAGTTAACAGTTAAAGGGCTGCCGCAACACATTCGCCTTGAGGTGCGAAGATCAAGGAGATGTGGCCACAGCAGCCATCCAACATCGCTCGAGGCAATCAGGGCGTGTGAAGAGTTGCTTCGACGTGCTACAGGCAAGTAGAACAGAGTCCGACAGGTCATGGCACTTCCAATGCTACCGATGAGCCTTCGACGAACAGCACAGCCGAAGAAACCATAGTCAAAGCACGAGTCTCAGTGGCTGGTTGCAGTCTTTCAGCTCCGCGTGTATGCCACAAGCAAGGTAGCATGCGTGGAGATGAAGTACCCGAGCTTACACCCCCGCCTAGTCCAGTCCAACGCGCAATGCCTCTCTAGTTTGTAAATGGCATCACCTATGGGAAGTGCCCTAGACCGTCCCCAACTTCATCAAATGGCGATGCGGCAGTGCCCTGCCCGAATCATGTAGCATACTCCTCCCTAGGCCCAAAGCTCTGAACATTGGCACCAAAGTCGACAAAGAGCGTAGTTCTTGCCTTCAGATATTTGTACCGTGTCACGCAGGCGGCAAATATGTGAAGTATTATGTTGCCGCAGCATGATGGCTAGGACGTTTTGGTAGTCTTGAGTAGTGCTCCAAGTCCCAAGGGTGACTAAGGTTTGCAACGAAAGATCAATTTCCGAGCAGCTATCAAGTCGGGGTATGCAGGCTTGCTCCTCTACACTTTGTGCATATCCGACGAAGTAAACTTTCAATCTCTCTACGTCGTGCCACCTGCAACAGATAATCGAATATGAAGAGGACAGCACCATGACTCCGGCTCTGTCTCAGAGAACCTTGCAGCGAGAAGCACTGCAGCCCAACGACAAAAAGCATTATGCAATCCTCTGGTGACTGAGGTGTCTGAATGCAACTTGAACACACCCTGGAAGTCTCGTCCGACCCTTCTTCAATCGGCTCTGACAGATCAAGCCCGAAGATGCAAGCAAGGCTTGCGATCCCGACCCGCAGAACTTGTCAATGGCAAGAAGCTCAGGGTGTCGGCCGGGTTGACTCGTAGACACGGGATGGAGTTCTTTCGCGTGCTGCGGCTCTTCTAAGGACCTTACTCAGGTTCTGGAGGTTTCCACAACGCAGTAGAAAGTCCATGCCTGCGGCTGGCGACCGCTCTTAAGACTGGCAACAGTTGGCACCATGTCAGCCAGGGACGACTTGACACGTGATGGCTCCGAACACCTGCATAGATTGGAGACTAGCCATCTTTCTGATTCTCAGCGAACACCAGCTTTTTTCAAGCATGACTTCCTGCGAGCCGCGTTAGTTCAAGCTGTCTAGGCAAATCGTGACCATCCGGAGACCACTTACCTCCGTGCCCAGGATTTCGATCCACAATCAATCCTGTGCTTGTTTGTATCAGTTTCCTGCTCCGAAGGCCGCGCGGGCTTGGGCAACTCCTGGCTCAACGCGCGCCGCACTTTTTGCGGCTGTCAGGCAGGCTTCACTGTCAGTAGATGGGCGGCAGCATGCATAGCTCCGGCCGTTCATGCGTGGCAGGCATGCAGCAATCAACAAGATTCATGCGCGTGCACCTCGATTTTGAGATACCTCACTTCAGTGAGCCGGCTACGGCTCTCAGGGAATCGGGGTGGACAGCCATGTTTTTCGAAGATGGTTTAGCGGCACATGCAGAACTGAAGTGGTATGGTTGTACTTGCACTCGCATGTTGAACATATAGTGCTGAGTCGTGGACTTCCTGAGATCGCGCTTGTAGTGTGCCGCTGCGGCGTTGTTCAGAAGCCACGGCCAAGGTCCAAACCACAGGAGCTCAACAACTTGGTTTGGGGATTCGCAACGCTCTGATCTCGGAACGAGGTATGAGTTTTAGAGCCACAGCTTCGGCTGCCAACATAATCTCATTACCAAGACGGAGGTAACGCACTGTGATCTGCTGCAGTGCAGCGCCCACACACTACCAGTCACGATCAGTGGTACTGTTACGCCACCACTGCTGAAGCTGCTGCCACTGTTGCTGCGGCGATGGCGGGGACTACGCAACTGTTTCTGCTTTATGTGCCAGAACAGACAGTAGAGTAGAGTATGTACTGCTACTCTATAGATGAAGAATTACAGCACTGCTTCGCCACAGCTACCAACTCCACGTCCTGCACTATCATGCGCAACGGCTCCGTGTCCAGGCTTGGCATCGTCGGTCGGTCCTTGCTGGCTGCTACCTCTGCAGCGGCGATTGCCAAGGCCATGATGCTACGTTACATGCGGCCGCCGCCCAGCCACGGAAAGGAAACTTCGTCGAACGCCGCTGAGTTTTGGAGCGAGGCCACATCTAACTACTTTGCCTCCCGGAACCAAACAGTCGTACAAAACACCCAACCTCCGTCTTGCATGTTTCTGCAGAACCCTTATATATATGTATATATATATATATACTCAGATTCAGATTGCTTCCCATAGGTTCGAGAGCTCAACCCCCAAGATCTCGCCGTCACTGCTTTGGCGCTTGCCCGTACTTGGCCCAGAATGCAGGATGAGCTGGTCGCAGGGCTATTGCATTGCTTCTTTGCATGAAGCACATTTGGAATGCGGAGTTTGAAGACCAAGACCAGCGGTATGACATTCCGCTAAGTGGAGTTACGAGGTCTTGAAGTTCACGATGCGAAGCTCATGGAGGCAGCTTCAACCGAAGAGGCGCTGAAGTCTACATCGCAGTCGCAGTCATTCACGGCGAGTCATATCGTTTCTCTTCCGTCGAGCCGCCCATGCCCCCCTCCCCACCACCCCCGCACTCCCGGGGAGTCAGGACCAGTACAGGGAGTATGTATACCTACACAATCATACGTACATACATACTTGTACGGGCATGCATGTGGCATAAATTCACCAGCCCTTCAATCGTCAACCCCCCCCCCTCAATTAGTGTGGGCTGGCAGAGCGAGAGAGAGAATGGCCAGGGGGTTTGACCAGCCCCCTTAGCCCCGAGGAAGAAGAGAGAGCGATATGTATGTATATATGTATGTATGTATGTATGTATATCGGGGAGAAGCCCCGCTAGTTTCACGCCGACGCGCGCTGGACGCACGACGTTTGGAATCTCGGTTTCGGGGGGGGGGGGGGGGCGGGGGCACTTCGGTGCTTTGCGCTTTTCAGCAAGCAGGATATATATATATACACACATATATACATATACATATGTATATATATAATATGATAGTAATACATATACATTTTTTATATTCTGTTGTATTATTTATATACACTCCCTCGCTGCATGAAAACGATATCCCCAGCCACGGCGCCGGAACTCCGCTGAACAGAAGCAGCGGCTGGTGTCTCCATGAAGAGGTTCATGCACACTTCATACTGGGCTGCTATTGGCCACGTCTCCGTATTGTCCGCCTTGAGTACCGCACATCGCACAGAGGCAGCGAAGATGGACTTATCGCAGCCCCAAGAGTCTGCACCTTGGAGCTTGTTCACCATGAATAATGGCAGGGATTTTAGGCCCGATCGTCCAAAAAGATCGGCTTCGGTAGGTTGAGTTCGAAGCCGGTGAATAGAGAAGAAAATGGGCAGTGACAGAGTTCCCAAGCGGTAACAGGCCAACCTCACGCCATTCTTTCACATCTGGGCTTTACATGCATGAACCAGGTTGGGGAACAGTGCTTGGGCTTTTGCCAAGCCGTTGACCTTAGACGTGCCTTTGCTGACGGGCCCTCAGCTTCCGACAAAAGTTTCACTGCTGCACAGCGTGCATACCATCGTGGACGAAGTAAAACCTGTGCGCCTGCCGGAAACCTGAAGTAGCGAAAAAGGATGTCCCTCGTGTAGACGGAGGTCGAGTGAGAAACTGGGAGGCGCGCTACTTCTCCTCTGTGCCCCCTCTCTTAAAGGCTCCGCCCTTCAGATGTTCCTGCCCAGCTTCGGTTCGTTTTGCAAAGTGAGATGGAGCCAGCCGAGGCAGGCTACATCTCGCCAAGCACAGCGCATGCGCCTCAGCTTCTGCCGGGGACGCTTGACACAACTGGGAATCACTTCACAGTTTTGCTTTTTTCGGAGCGAGATGTGTACACGATGCAAACGACATGCAGTCATGTGCAGCCTGCTTCCTGGTTGCTTGGCTGACGCTGCCTGGATTCAGGCTTGCTGTTGGACTCTAACCCGCAGAACCCGACCAACACCGCCTGGGCACATGGCAAGGCCTGAACGCAGGTATCTAGTTGAAAAAGGTCTAGAGTCTAGAGATTGGAACATGCGTTAAGAGAAACAGAATCCAGACAAGCATCTCCATTCCGGAAACGTGGAGGCCGACTTCCTCGGCCAGCCTTTGATGGTGTCGGTCGGCTCTGTGCCTCGTCATGCCTCGTCGGACTTCTCTGAAAGACAGTGTTTAGAAGAGGTATGGACAGGTGAGAGAATTGTAACCGGACTGTGGTACAGAAGGTCGGAATCCTGGTACGGAAAATGTTCCCATTTGAAAGAATCGGCCGAGAAGGATGAGAGACATAGGGACTATGTATGTCATGTTGCAGAGCCGTACATAGGTCGTAGGGAATGTCAAGTTTGTCAATTCCTGATTTGCGGCGGCGCGGCTTCATGGCTGCTGTCCGGTGTTTAGGCCTTCTATGGCACAGCTTTCGAACACGAGACTGCCAGAAGCAGTCAGTCAGGCTTCAATGGACAGGCTCCAAGAATTCAACGCGCAGAACTCGCACGGCCCTTGCAGACTTGCAGAGTTGTTCCTGGGTGCCGGCATACTTAGGCAGCTTGAAACATCGGCTGTACTCTTTGCAGAGCTTCAGGTCGAATGCAGTCCGGGGCTTCGCGACAGTCGGTGCGGCAGATGGGTCTTGACCGAACCCCAGCTGACAAACACAAGTAGTGTGTGAGGATGGCAGAAGCAGGATCACGAGGACAGGTGTCGCTGCGACACTACAGTACGAAAATGCGTGCATATTGTATACAAAGCTGAGCATTCCATCGGCACAGTTCTTGCTGCGAGTGTTCGTGCGATCTGAACTGGCCAGGCTTGGAGGCCACAGGCAGCCACTTCGCTTCGAATCTCCACGGCTGTGAACCCCAAGCGCTGGCAAACAGAGCACGGGGGCCGGGGACCGATTCGTCCCAACGAAGCGGCCCTATGCCCAGTAGGGCATCCGCCGCGAGGTTCGCCACTCCGGGACTTTTGCAGCAACCCATGCCTGCGGCTCAGGTTACCAGTTGGTCGACTTTTAGGATTGGGACGTGGCAACAAGTGGACTTTCTCAAGAACTTGCAGTCCAGGTTTGCAGCTACTGCATGTGAAGCTTCCGTCACCCTCCCGCAGCTTTCAGGCTGGCCGTGTTGCACCCATGCGTCTTCAGCAAGAGACTGTGAGTGAACTACATGCAAAGTTGAACAGATGCCTGCACGTAGTGACGGAGTTCATGGCTGCATGCCCTTTCTGCCTTTCGAGGTGACGTGAGAACATGTGGTCGGCGAAGTGTGCACAATGACTTGCAGAATGTGAAACTCCCCCCGGAAACTAGCAGACAGAAGGCAAGCCGTGCTCTGGGCACAGATGGATACAGACGGAACGGAGCCACACAAACGAACGATTGCGTCCCATCGGGACCCGAAGGACTCCCAGAGTGCTGCTTTATCCATGCATCCTGGTATATCCTGGTCTAAGTCTATGCAGTGACTAAGTGCTTGTGCTGCGAGGTCAGGGTCCTGCGAACTTGGCCGCTTGCTTGGCGATGTAAATGGACTTCACGCGTAGAGGCGTAGATGTTGACGGGACTGGCTCGCCGGCCGAATCATCGTGGACATGTGCGTAGGCCTGCTCGAGATAGACTAGAACCACACAGCCAACAAGACCAGTCATGCTTTCGTCCGAGCAAATTGGCCGAGGTCTGGGGACTTTCGACTCTGGGATTGGTGGAGCAGCCTCTCATTGCTGCTGTGGCCAATCAGGTGGGACAATCTTGATGTTTAAACTTAACGCTCCTTCCCTCCCACCCTGTCTCGCTTTGTTCGTCTCTCCCTCTCTCTCCCTCCTCCACTCCCTCCCTCTCCCTCTCTCTCCCCCTCTCNNTCTATCTCTCTCTCTCTGTCTCTGTCTCTTTCGTTGAGCTGCTCAGTATTGACCGTATGTTCCATTGAATCACTTTCCCAGCAAGCCTTGTTTCGACCCACGCCTCGAAGTTTGAAGTTGTGCACGAGCAAATCGCGAGCCTCACAGCAAGCAGTTCCAAAGCTGATGCAAAATCCATAGCAGCCACAGAGCACCTCCCGGCAAGAGACATAGCACCTCCACCGCCGGTGTCCTCGCGACCAGGCCTGCTTGCGCTGCTCGGAGCTCCAGGCCGGTAATTGATCTTCGGTACCTTCGGTACCTTCGCCCCAGTCGGTGTGAGCCACCAGTGACGCTGGCTGTCTTTCCGGTGGTGTTTGCTGAGCTGCCTCATGCCATTACTCGACATCAATGTTCGAGCATGACGCACAAGCGATAACCAAGCAGGCTTGTGAAAGCTTCAATGCTTCTTGGAAGTTCACCTTCACGAACTGTCGTTCGAGCGCAGCTAGAACATGCCGACTTTCTGCAGAGGCGCAGAATCCCTCAAACACAGCATGGAGCTTCGTCTTGTCCTGAGCTGTGCAGACAAGCTGCTACACCAATTCAGTGTCTCAGCCTCCAGACTGACGGAGCGGGATACTGCATTCAGCACCCAGGCGAACTTGGACTGCTTGCGCCAGCTGTGTACGGACAGCCGGGGAATGGTGTTGACAATGTTGACAGCTGTCCATGCAAGAGGTGCTTAAGTTTGAGTGCTGAACGCTGTCTTGCAGCATGCATCCGCTGTTTCTTGCGAACCGACCCTGAGCATCGATTATTGATTCCGATCAATATGGTGGGGCACTGTATTGATTTCATTGTAGAATCAATGTACAAATTGAGTTATATGATCACGAAGTCAATCTGAAATATGGCATGTACAATCAATCCAGGAATCAATATATTCACATGCTTCAAAACCAATAAGCCCTTAACCCTAAACGCTAGACCCTTTGTGGCTCAAGGCTCAAGCCATTTTGGCCCAAGGCCCCTGCGGTTTCTGTTCTGGGCCGCTGCGAGGACTAGGCTCCTCGGGCTGCTCTCAAAATTGCTCTGCCGGGGGCTATGAGTGACGATGATGATCCGGCTCTGGTTGAAGGGTGAGGCGGAACACCTCGGCCACTGGGATGGAGTTCACGCAGGAGAATATGCGGATGCTGCGGCTTTCCGAGCTTGAGGCGCGCCAGTAAAGCAAGATGGACGACATGGATTCTCAGCTCGTCCACCAGGGGGCAAGAGTCAAGGATGTGGAGAGACAAATGCGAGAACTAGGGGATCGACTTCTTCGTGTCGAGAAAGGCGAGGCTTCTGGAGAAGGGATGGGGCCGGATCGCAGGGCTCTCTGGTGTTTGGTGGCTGGCAAACCAAACTCGGAAAGACGTCTTGCTGTTGGCCCTCAGGGAGATTTTGACTGGGCGTCTTTCTGCACAGGACTTCGGCGATCAGTCGCTTTGTGCAACTTTCGCAAACGGGATGGTGAGGCTGACGATGGGTGCCGTGGGCGTATGCCCAAGGTGCTGCAGACCACAAACGCAGCGAAGGTCGAAAAGTGGGGGGTCATCGACCATTGTGGTGCTCCTTTTCCTCGGTCACCGGAGGAACGAGGCAGAGCAGCCCTAGCGGCACTGGTCCAAAAGTGTGTGATGAAGCTACAGCCATCTCGCGCGGAGGACGTGGAGGTCGAGTTCAATAGTGGCATGACGTGGATCCGAGATGACCAAGTCAGTGGCTCAGGAAGTCCACCGAGGTCACTACGAAGGCCGGGAAAGGCTGGCTTGATGAGAGCACCTTGGCGAAATGGTGCGAGGTGGACATCGCTGCAATTCGGGAAGTCATGGAAAGTACGTCTTGCTGACATCGCTGCTGAAAGGGACTCTGAGATTGTGCCAGGTGGGCAGGGTTTTCCGGGGGACCCGCAGTCTATTTCACATGTAAGCCTTGCTGTGGATCGCGAAAGGGATTCCGCACTGACTCCTCGGCAAGCTGCTAAGAAAAGCGGTGAGCCGGGGCTCAAGATCCTCGGCTGGAACATCGGCGGGGCTGAGCTCATGGGTCTCCCAACAGCAGTAGCCGACACGCTGAGCAGACGGCAAGGAAAAGATGACCTTGTGCTACTTCAACAACTGCCACGAGAGGGCCAGGGTTGGACTTACAATGATCTCGGGGGTCGTCGTGTAGTTGCACATGGAGCACAAGACCAATGGCACGGTACTAGGCTATGGTATGATCAGAGCGCATGGTGTGTGGTCAAAGTGGCAGGGGGGCCTGGTTCAAACTTCGGCACCTGGAACAGGATCTCGAGCTATGGATTGGCACAGCAAATTTCAACCCCGGGGTTTCGGTGGACAAATATGGGCATTGTAAGTCAGTATCGAAAACCAATATGCAAGCTGTATATCCAGATCAATATAGAAAGCACTGATACGCAGTCATACCAAATATTGATTTAATCCATCGAGACAGCCGGAATCAAAACCTATCTAAAATATATATTTTTGTATTGATCGGAATCAATAACCGATGCGGAGGGGATGTGGCCTCCAACGTTGCCGGCCGCATATATTGAGTATTCTACACTGCGCCCATGTTGTTAGGAGGCATTCGCCTTGTGTTCATTGGACAAGATTACCGAGATGAACCCACAGGCGGTGGTGGGGAGGGTTTGGAGTATAAGAAAATGCGATATCGAGACATCCACCCTTTGTCTTCCCTGCAGGGACCGGCTAACATTGCCTGGACCTGGGCCAGGGCCTCAACATGACTTGATCCGGCCCAAAACTTCCACGACATAGCGGAGCGCCGGGCGCATTCCTGTAGAAAAGTCGGCAAGTTGAAGTCTTCCGGAGTATCGTCGAGGCTGTTTTCAAGCAGCCTGCCTAATGGCCCCTAGCAGCATGACTGCTGAGGACACGAAGGAAGCAGGGAATTGACCCTGCAGACTCAGTTCGGCTAAAAAGACATTCTATGTCGTGCGATATCGGCTGCTTGCAGGGACGTTTGGTCTTGCTGGAGCAGCCATTGATGCACGCGGCTGGCAAGCACACTGCCCGAGCCCTCAAGCAGGCAGTATGGTCTTGTTGTTCTTGCTGCCATACTGAACCCAGAGAACTTCGTCTCTCCAGTCAAGTTTCTGCAATCTGCCGAAATTCAGGTGGAGAAGATTGCTGAGTTTCAGAGCATTGACCTCAGCACCGCCAGAGCTAATCAGCTGATCTCTCTTGAACTGTCGGAGACCACAGAAAAACTCATCACTGCGGAGGCCAAAACACCTCCAACATCGGGTGGTCTACTGCGACTCCGGAGCTCAGATGGCCACTGCCTCGGGCTGAAGACACGTGCTTCGTGTTGCGGTTCTGTGGCCAAGGCCGTCTTCGACCCACGCGACAGCGGCCGAATGCCGGCGCAAGGCCCGTCAGCTCACATAGCCGGGCTTCACCCATCGCGACGAGGTGGCTAGGTATCAGAAAATCAGGGAAGCCTCCACCGTCCTTTTCTGCAGGTGTCGGTGCTGAGCTGCCAAGACCTTGCAAACACGGTCAGGACCTCAAAAGCCAATGTTCCTTTGCCGTGGATCCTGGCACGACGGATAGGAAGAGTGTACATCGGTCACGGAATAGCTGTGCTGGTGGTGGCTTTTCTACGGTCACATGATCTGTAGGCGCGATGCCTCGCCAGACCCGGAGCGACTGGTGAGATGCTCATGAGCCTGATTCCCAGCAGCGTTCACAGACAGCACATGTATCTCACCCAGCTTCAGCTGCGGTTTGGCTTTGGACAGCTTCATGATGTTCATGGATCGAGACAGCTTTGGCTTGGTACTTCGCTACGCTGCAAGAGGCTACCTACCCATCTTCGATAATTAATCCATACTCGAGTGATATTAGGAGTCAACCATGCAGGAACCGGTCCCTGCCCAGAACTGTTGTCTAGTAGACTCGTGAAATCTATACCCTATCAGTCGAAAAGCCGTGAGCACGAAATCGTTGCCTGTTGCCCTTCCACCAGACTGGAAAGAACAGCTGCCTCGAATAATCGCGTCCCGATAACGTATTTGCCTGGGTATGGCTTGCCGTGGCCATGTGCGATTTGCAGCAGACATGGCCAGTGCAGATCTCCAGATTGAGACTCCTACCGCACTCGCAGAGCCGGCGTTGGAGTTCGGCTAACACTCTGCCCGTGCTCGACGCTCTCCGACCCAAGTTAGATCTACGACTGCCAGCTGCAGCGATCTGCATTTCAAGCGCTGCATTGGCGCCTTGACAGACATTTCAGCAAGGTTTTTTGCCTCTCGCTCCCATGCACATGCTGCGACGCCGTCAAGGTATCGACGCCCAGGTCTGCCAGACGGAAAGCATTTGGCAGCAGATTCAGATGCGCTGCACTGCCGCGCACATTCAGGGGTTTCACCAACCTCTTGGTGGATGCAGACGTGCACAGCATCGACCATATCCGGGACGCAATCGGTGAGCTGCAGAAGATGAAGCAAGTGGTGCATACAACAGTTTTTGCCGCACCCGGCCGCAATTCCAACAAGCGATGGAATGAATTATTCCAGGACAACCGGATATGTTTTCGTCCGGTCCCGCGGGACAAGAGCAAAGTCTCGGAAGCAAATGATGAGATTATAATCCAAACACTTACAACTTGCGACGATGCCCCGAGTTTTGCGCTCCTGGCTTCTGACTTCGACTTCGTGGATGCAATTAAGCGGGCCGCGGACCGTGGCAAGCAGGTTTTTCTGTTCATCCCATCCAACAAAGTAGGGGTAATCAAGCAGTATCTTGATGCGGGGGTTCACGTCCACGAGCTGAAGTCCCACTCGGATTTGCCGAGAGTCAGAGCAGTTCTTCATGCAGATGGTAGCGGGGATGTGGAAGTGGGTGGTCCGTGGCACCTTCCTGAGAATGCCGATTCGGCAAGTACGTGTGAAAAATTCTTGATGGACCTTGGATTCATGGAAGAAGCACGCAGGGAGTTCATGGTGCAGTCTGCAGCGAAGTTCTGGCTCGCGAATGAGCTGGGGGGATCACTCACTGTGTTTCCGCGAGAACTTTGCGTCAAAAGGCTTTGCCAGCTTATCGAGAAGCACAGCACGGGGAATCTGCGGAGATGTGCCAAAGACATGGCATTTTTCCTTCCTACATCTGCGCATGGAAAGCCAAGCGGAGGGCAATTGGCCAAATTCGGCACGGCTGTAGCAAGAACAGTCTTCAGAGGCGGAGGACCTTTCATGCTGCAAGAGTCATCAAGCATGGTCAGACAAGCATTGGAAAAGCTAGGATACATCGATGGAGATCTGAATTCGGATATGCTAGAGGCAATGCTTGTGTTCGTGAATGCTCCGGGGAACCATCACCGCTTGCGGAAAAGGTTGAAGTCTTTGCCTAGCTTCGGTGATGCAGCTGCAGACGTGGAGGAGAAGCTTAGGCATGCGTTTCTTTCTCACCTCACAGACGGCATGTGGCGGATATCGCCCCGTGATGACAGCATCAGAGCACGTCTTTGCAAGCGGGGATTCTTGGCGACTGTTGCCGCTCCAAAGCAGGATGTGTTTCGAGCGATGGCTGCGTACTCCAAGCAGCACCATCTGCCGGAGATGAAGACCTATAACGGCTATCTTTTTCGCATTCTTCGTGCGCAGGAGGCCCACCCGGAAGAGACGGGTACAATCGAGCTGAGGCGTTGACAAGGAAGGGCTGCATCCGGTCGCACAAGGAAAGCAGACTGTCCGTTGTATTGCTAAAGCAGGATTTCGGGGGGCAATGGTTGCTCAAACCTGACTGTCGGACACGGAGGTTGGCTTAAAACTATCCCTGGGCCTGTGGCTTTGGCATGCGAACAGCTTCTGAAGTTAGGCCCTCACATACGAGGTAAGAGATCACGACACCGACAGCTGGCAGAACAGAAGACTCCGAACCTTGACCTTGGGATTGCCGCTGAGGTGCCACAGCTGTGCGAACTATGGCCTCTCTGGAAGGCTCAGCCGGGACGAAATCTGGTGGCCTAGGTCCCCAGGCTCCATGCCCTAGGCCCTAGCAGCTGGGGTTTGAAGGCCTAAGGCCTTAGGTGTGGGGTGACAGGCTTAGAGCAGGGTTTGGAGCACGGGGAGGCTTAGACGAGCTGGGGCCCGAGCCTGAGATCTTCGCACTCTTTCGACACTTTGAGCACGAGCTGCTGCCCTGAGCTGTCGCAAATCCATTGCGAAAAGTCACCTCAGCCTTTGCAGCTCGAGAATCCCCCTTCGGATATCTCCATCCTAGTCCGTGCCATTGGCTCTTCGATGGCTACCGAGCTTCGCCCGCAGACAGTGTCTTCAGGGTTGCAGGCACACGTTTGGATGCCACCTTGGACGCCCCAGCAGGTCGAAGCATGAAGCGATTTCGCCATTCTGAACCGACTTGCAGAGCGCTACTGAGGCAAGCAAAGCTCACCATGCCAAACAGGTAGGAAGCACGTCACAGAAACCCGCACGTGTCAAGATGCAGGCTAAAGTCCCTCACAAAAGCTGCAAGTGTAGCAGTCGTACATCTGCTCGTCGTGCAACCACTTGTGCGACAGCATGTGCTGACCGCAAGCCACAAGCGACTCGGAATGGACCTTGCCACTTTCGCATACGTTGGATTGGGCCCTGCCCTGCTAGATTGCACGCTGCTGAGCCCAGGCAACTGCAACATGCGGTCACCACAACTTTGCTCGGCCTGGGCATCATCCGCAGCCCTTGGATGCGGCGTGGTTGCATCACAGGGGTGGACGGATTGCGTAATAACGCTTTCAAGGCTAGGGTTTGGCCGACTTGGCTTTGTGTGATTCTCACAGTGTGGCTGGGTGCTGAGAGCCTTGTCCGCACACCGGCACTAATCAACGAGAGAAACATCGTGGATAGATCACGGATATGCCTGCTTAGCCTTCTGTTCACAATAAGCAGCCGCTTGAAATGACTTTGTTGTCCAGGAGATGGACCTGGATGCTGAGATGGGCCATTCATTTGCTCGACAGATCTCTCCGAATTGCCGGCTGGTAGACTGCAAGGCGACCGAGGAAAACATGCTACTCGTAAGAGCCTCATCGCAGCAACTGACCGTGGCCATGATTGAACTCATAATATACCAGTCCTTGTAAAGTCGGAGATGCGAGCTGAACCACTATTGCTGGGGGACAAGGTGTACTGCTGCGTATTTGTTTACCCCGTTTGCTCAGGTATACTTAATTACCATAACGTGCCATGCACAAACAACACATACTCACTCTCTTGCTCGCGCTGTCTCTCTCTCTCTCTCTCTCACTGTCTCTCCGTCCCTCTCCCCGATACCGGGAGGTTCCATCTCCAACCTGCGCAGACCCTCCGGATGACACGAGGCCGCGATTTGCAATTTGAGGGCTTACGCATGACGGCATGTTTCAAGGCACCATGCCTTTTTGTTGAACTTGGAGCTGCCAGCTGCCCTGTCCATTGCGAAGTACAGAACTTCTCGTGCTCGTGCACGCTCCCGTGAAAACTGAAGCTCGGTGGGATGTCGGGCCGAGACTGGCAGGCTTGACTTCGGCGAATTCAAAAGACGAGCACTGGTCCTTGCGACAGAGTTTTTCTGCTCCGGAGACGTGGAAGGCGGCTTTCTGAAAAATCGTGCCGGGTTTGTCCCCTTTGAACTCGTGATCTCGTGGCAGCAACAGCGGTAGCCTTTCTGCTGCCCCATTCTTCTCTTCCTGCCAACACAGTGGAGGCATGGTGGCATCCGTCAAGGGCTTGGGGTGCACAGCTTTTCATGACGAACTGGCTGCACTGCTGCTGCGCGCTTCTCTCGACCAGAGGGAGAAGGATGGTTTTGCGTGCCAACACAGTGGCATTCTGACACCGTGATGGTTTGCACGGGGAGGGACAGAGAAAGGGCGAGAGAGACGGAGAGCCTGAGAGTGCAGTTTCACGCTTTTCTGCTTGGTGCACTTCGGAATGGCAAAGCTGTTATGCATGCGATACGATGTCGTGGTTTGAGAGTGCCGACCGGAGCCCTGTAAAGCTGTGCAAGCGGCGATATGCTGCGGCATGGGGACCAGCACCAGCGCTAGCCTTAGTTAGTTCGTGATGAGGCCAGGGGGTGGTGTAAAGTTCGTACAGGGTTTGGAGGTCGTGAGCTCGAACACTTCGGCCTCATCCTTTCAAAACAGGTAGTTCTGGACGATAAGACCCAGGGCGTGTGCGCGCGCAGGGGGGGTGGGGTTCGCTCTGCTCTCCTTTGGCTGTGCTGAAGAAGAGACGGAGAGAGAGAGAGAGAGA